GAGAGAACAGTAGGACTAATAATGGAGAGAGAGAGAGAACAGTAGGACTAATAATGGAGAGAGAGAACAGTAGGACTAATAATGGAGAGAGAGAGAACAGTAGGACTAATAATGGAGAGAGAGAGAACAGTAGGACTAATAATGGAGAGAGAGAACAGTAGGACTAATAATGGAGAGAGAGAGAGAGAACAGTAGGACTAATAATGGAGAGAGAGAGAGAGAACAGTAGGACTAATAATGGAGAGAGAGAGAGAGAACAGTAGGACTAATAATGGAGAGAGAGAGAGAACAGTAGGACTAATAATGGAGAGAGAGAACAGTAGGACTAATAATGGAGAGAGAGAACAGTAGGACTAATAATGGAGAGAGAGAGAGAACAGTAGGCCTAATAATGGAGAGAGAGAGAGAACAGTAGGACTAATAATGGAGAGAGAGAGAACAGTAGGCCTAATAATGGAGAGAGAGAACAGTAGGACTAATAATGGAGAGAGAGAGAGAACAGTAGGACTAATAATGGAGAGAGAACAGTAGGACTAATAATGGAGAGAGAGAACAGTAGGCCTAATAATGGAGAGAGAGAACAGTAGGACTAATAATGGTAGATGAAAAGATAAAAAGACGGATATATGGATGAATTGATTGAGATGAATTAGAACATTCCAGATTAGTTGTCATTAACCAACCCAATCCCACTGTTCCAGAATCTCAGCTCGTGGTTCTGACGCTCCTAGGCCTTAGCTGGGTTCTGGAAATACAAAAGAAGGTTATTGTCTGGAACACTGGGACTGGCACACACAGGACAACACACATTGGGGGCAAGGAAGTACACATGTACCGTATGTATACATACATGATCTCCACACACACACACACACAGTGAGTGGGCTGCAGAGAAAAAAACAAGTACGCAGTATAAGATCAGTGAAAAGGGCATTGCTAAACAATGAAATATACTCCAGTTCAGTGGTTCCCAAACTGTGGGGTCACGAAGCAAAACATTTAGGGGCCCCTGCACTAGCGCACCAGAGAGAAACACACACACACTGTGTGGGCTTGCCATTTCTCTGTGTTTGTGAATGTGTGTGTGTGAGAGTGAGAGTGTGTGAGAGTGTGTGCGAGTGTGTGCGAGTGTGTGTGAATGTGTGTGTGTGAGTGTGTGTGTGAATGTGTGAGTGTGTGTGTGAATGTCTGTGTGTGTGAGTGTGTGAGTGTGAGTGAATGTCTGTGTGTCTGTGTGTGTGTCTGTGTCTGTGTGTGTGTCTGTGTGTGTGTCTGTGTGTGTGTGGTGCGCTAGTGCAGGGGTTCCCTAAACGTTTTCCTTCGTGACCCCACAGTTTGGGAACCACTGCACTGGAATGTGTGCGTGTAATGAAAATCCTCTCAAATTCCTAAATCAACTTTACAGTTGGTAGAGAATCAAATTAGGCTTCTTGTGCTTTTATTTATGCTAACCTTCAACATTCACAACATCACGATGACTGGACTCCCTATTTCTCTACTCTCTGTCAGTCTTCTTGTACTGTACATACTCTCATTCAGAAAAAATTCAGGATGCTCCCAAATGTCACCCCATTCCCTATATAGTCCAATACTTCAAAAGGGAAATTGGTACAATTTGAGATGCTGCCCCAATCTCTGCCCTGAAGTCTTTCCTAAATGTAATAGAATTACTCCCTCTAAACTTCCAGGAGAAAGGAACGCACTCTTCTGTTCCCAAAGAGGTCCTTGACATCTGAATGTCCTCACTGCTCTTCAGCATTCTCAAGGAGAGAGAGAGATTGAGAGACAGAGAGAGATGGATTAGGCAACAACAAATTCAATCCCTTTTAGACAACTTCCTGGACAAAATGTTCCACTGTAATATTGAAGGTGTAAACTTGGCAGTAGAAAACCTAAACAGCATATTTGACCTCTCAGCTTCCCTATAAAATCTAAAAATCTCTAACAGAAAACCGAAGAAAAGTAACAACAGTGACAAATGGTTTGATGAAGAATGCAAAAACCTAAGAAAGAAATTGTGAAACCTATCCAACCAAAAACATAGAGATCCAGAAAACCTGAGCCTACGCCTTCACTATGGTGAATCACTAAAACAATACAGAAATAAACTACGGAAAAAGAAGGAACAGCATGTCACAAATCAGCTCAATGTAATTGAAGAATCCATAGACTCTAACCACTTCCGGGAAAATTGGAAAACACTAAACAAACAACACGAAGAGCTATCTATCCAAAACGGAGATGTATGGGTAAAACACTTCCCCAATCTTTTTGGCCCTATAACAAAGAACAAACAGCAAAAAAATATACATGATCAAATGAAAATCTTAGAATGAACTATTAAAGACTACCAGAACCCACTGGATTCTCCAATTACATTGAATGAACTACAGGAAAAAATACAAACCCTTCAACCCAAAAAGGCCTGTGGTGTTAATGGTATCCTCAATGAAATTATAAAATATACAGACCACAAATTCCAATTGGCTATACTTAAACTTTTTAACATCATCCTTAGCTCTGGCATCTTACCCAATATTTGGAACCAAGCACTGATCACCTCAATCCAAAACGGTGGAGACAAATTTGACCCCAATAACTACTGTGGGATATGCATCAACAGCAACCTCTGCATTATCATTAACAGCAGAGTAGTTCATTTCCTCATTGAAAACAATGTACTGAGCAAATGTCAAATTGGCTTTTTACCAAATTACCGTACGACAGACCACATATTCAACCTGCACACCCTAATTGACAAACAAACAAACCAAAACAAAGGCAAAGTCTTCTTAGCTTTTGACTCAATTTGGCATGAGGTTCTGCTATACAAACTGATGGAAAGTGGGGTTGGGGGAAAAACATACGACATTATAAAATCCATGTACACAAACAACAAGTGTGTGGTTAAAATTGGCAAAAAACACACACATTTCTTTCCACAGGGCCGTGGGGTGAGACAGGGATGCAGTTTAAGCCCCACCCTCTTCAACATATATATCAACAAATTGGCGAGGGCACAAGAAAAGTCTGCAGCACCCAGCCTCACCCTACCAGAATCTGAAGTCAAATGTCTACTGTTTGCTGATGATCTGGTGCTTTTGTCACCAACCAAGGAGGGCCTACAGCAGCACCTAGATCTTCTGCACAGATTCTGTCAGACCTGGGCCCTGACAGTAAAGACAAAGATAATGGTGTTCCAAAAAAGGTCCAGTTGCCAGGACCACAAATACAAATTCCATCTAGACACCGTTGTCCTAGAGCACACAAGAAACGATACATACCTCGGCCTAAACATCAGCGCCACAGGTAACTTCCACAAAGCTGTGAACGATCTGAGTGACAAGGCAAGAAGGGCCTTCTATGCCATTAAAAGGAACATAACATTCGACATACCAATTAGGATCTGGCTAAAAATACTTGAATCAGTTATAGAACCCATTGCCTGTTATGGTTGTGAGGTCTTGGGTCCACTCACCAACCAAGAATTCACAAAATGGGACAAACACCAAATTGAGACTCTGCATGCATAGTTCTGCAAAAATATCCTCTGTGTACAACAAAAAACACCAAATAATGCATGCAGTGCAGAATTAGGCAGATACCCGCTAATCAAAATCCAGAAAAGAGCTGTTAAATTCTATAACCACTTAAAAGGAAGCGATTCCCAAACCTTCCATAACAAAGCCATCACCTACAGAGAGATTAACTTGGAGAAGAGTCTCTGTCACGGTCGTTGATGAACGGGTCAGACCAAGGCGCAGCGTGAAATGCATACATGTTTATTGAACTGAATAAACATACAAAACAACAAAAGGCAATGAAACGTGACGTGACGTCGGAAGGCTATACACTAACAAGCCCAAACTCACCGAACACAAACAAGATCCCACAACACAGGCAGGAAAACTGGCTGCCTAAGTATGATCCCCAATCAGAGACAACGAGCAACAGCTGCCTCTGATTGGGAATCACACCCGGCCGAACATAGAAATACAAACATAGAATACCACACATAGAAAAGCACAACAAGGAATATACACACCCTGACTCAACATATAAGCGTCCCCTGAGTCAGGGCGTGACGGTCTCCTAAGTAAGCTGATCCTGGGGCTCTGTTCACAAACACAAACAGACCCCACAGAGCCCCAGGACAACAACAACAACACAATTAGACCCAACCAAATCATGAGAAAAAATTGAGAATTGCTTGACACATTGGAAAGAATTAACAAAAAAACAGAGCAAACTAAAATGCTATTTGGCCCTAAACAGAGAGTACACAGTGGCAGAATACCTGACCACTGTGACTGACCCAAACATAGGGAAAGCTTTGACTATGTACAGATTCAGTGAGCATAGCCTTGCTATTGAGAAAGGTAGGCAGACCTGGCTCTCAAGAGAAGACAGGCTATGTGCACACTGCCCACAAAATGAGGTGGAAACTGAGCTGCACTTCCTAACCTCCTGCCAAATGTATGACCATACTAGAGACACATATTTCCCTCAGATTACAGAGATCCACAAAGAATTCGAAAACAAACCCAATTTTGATAAACTCCCTTATCTACTGGGTGAAAACCAACAGTGTGCAATCACAGCAGCAAGATTTGTGACATGTTGCCACAAGAAAAGGGCAACCAGTGAAGAACAAACACCATTGTAAATACAACCCATATTTATGTTTATTTATTTTCTCATTTGTACTTTAACTATTTGCACATTGTTACAACACTGTATATCTTTTGGAACTTCTGAGTATAATGTTCACTGTTAATATTTATAGTTTATTTCACTTTTGTTTACTATCTACTTCACTTGCTTTGGCAATGTTAACATACATTTCCCATGCCAATAAAGCAATTAAAATTGAATTGAAATTGAAATTAAATTGAGAGAGAGAGAGAGAGAGAGAGAGAGAGAGATAGTGAGAGTGAGAGAGAGAGAGAGAGAGAGAGAGAGAGAGAGAGAGAGAGAGGGAATAACAACTTTTCATATAAATGTTGAGATCATCTTTCTGTCCATCCATCATAAGGTCTATCAGTAAAACTTGGCTGTCTCTATACTGTCTTGGCTGGCTGCCTCTATACTGTCTTGGCTGGCTGGCTCTGTACTGTCTTGGCTGGCTGTCTCTATACTGTCTTGGCTGGCTGCCTCTATACTGTCTTGGCTGGCTGCCTCTGTACTGTCTTGGCTGGCTGCCTCTATACTGTCTTGGCTGGCTGGCTGCCTCTATACTGTCTTGGCTGGCTGCCTCTATACTGTCTTGGCTGGCTGCCTCTATACTGTCTTGGCTGGCTGCCTCTATACTCTTGGCTGGCTGCCTCTATACTGTCTTGGCTGGCTGCATCTATACTGTCTTGGCTGGCTGCCTCTATACTGTCTTTGCTGGCTGCCTCTATACTGTCTTGGCTGGCTGCCTCTATACTGTCTTGGCTGACTGCCTCTATACTGTCGTGGCTGGCTGGCTCTATACTCTTGGCTGGCTGCCTCTATACTGTCTTGGCTGGCTGCCTCTATACTGTCTTGGCTGGCTGCCTCTATACTGTCTTGGCTGGCTGCCTCTATACTGTCTTGGCTGGCTGCCTCTATACTGTCTTGGCTGGCTGCCTCTATACTGTCTTGGCTGGCTACCTCTATACTGTCTTGGCTGGCTGGCTGCCTCTATACTGTCTTGGCTGGCTGCCTCTATACTGTCTTGGCTGGCTGCCTCTATACTGTCTTGGCTGGCTGCCCCTATACTGTCTTGGCTGGCTGCCTCTATACTGTCTTGGCTGGCTTCCTCTATACTGTCTTGGCTGGCTGCCTCTATACTGTCTTGGCTGGCTGCCTCTATACTGTCTTGGCTGGCTGCCTCTATACTGTCTTGGCTGGCTGTCTCTATACTGTCTTGGCTGGCTGCCTCTATACTGTCTTGGCTGGCTGCCTCTATACTGTCTTGGCTGGCTGCCTCTATACTGTCTTGGCTGGCTGCCTCTATACTGTCTTGGCTGGCTGCCTCTATACTGTCTTGGCTGGCTGCCTCTATACTGTCTTGGCTGGCTGCCTCTATACTGTCTTGGCTGGCTGCCTCTATACTGTCTTGGCTGGCTGCCCCTATACTGTCTTGGCTGGCTGCCTCTATACTGTCTTTACATTTACATTTTACATTTACATTTTACATTTACATTTTAGTCATTTAGCAGACGCTCTTATCCAGAGCGACTTACAGGAGCAATTAGGGTTAAGTGCCTTGCTCAAGGGCACATTTACGTCATTTAGCAGACGCTCTTATCCAGAGCGACTCACAAATTGGTGCATTCACCCTATAGCCAGTGGGATAACCACTTTTTAAAAAATTTTTGGGGGGGGTGGGGTGGTAGAAGGATTACTTTATCCTATCCCAGGTATTCCTTAAAGAAGTGGGGTTTCAAATGTCTCCGGAAGGTGGTGAGTGACTCCGCTGTCCTGGCGTCGTGAGGGAGCTTGTTCCACCATTGGGGTGCCAGAGCAGCGAACAGTTTTGACTGGGCTGAGCGGGAACTATGCTTCCGCAGAGGAAGGGGAGCCAGCAGGCCAGAGGTGGATGAACGCAATGCCCTCGTTTGGGTGTAGGGACTGATCAGAGCCCGAAGGTACAGGGGTGCCGTTCCCCTCACTGCTCCATAGGCAAGCACCATGGTCTTGTAACGGATGCAAGCTTCAACTGGAAGCCAGTGGAGTGTGCGGAGGAGGGGGGTGACGTGAGAGAACTTGGGAAGGTTGAACACCAGACGGGCTGCGGCGTTCTGGATGAGTTGTAGGGGTTTAATGGCACAGGCAGGGAGGCCAGCCAACAGCGAGTTGCAGTAATCCAGACGGGAGATGACAAGTGCCTGGATTAGGACCTGTGCCGCTTCCTGTGTAAGGCAGGGTCGTACTCTCCGAATGTTGTAGAGCATGAACCTGCAGGAGCGGGTCACCGCCTTGATGTTAGCGGAGAACGACAGGGTGTTGTCCAGGGTCACGCCAAGGCTCTTCGCACTCTGGGAGGAGGACACAACGGAGTTGTCAACTGTGATGGCGAGATCATGGAACGGGCAGTCCTTCCCCGGGAGGAAGAGCAGCTCCGTCTTGCCAGGGTTCAGCTTGAGGTGGTGATCCGTCATCCATACTGATATGTCTGCCAGACATGCAGAGATGCGATTCGCCACCTGGTTATCAGAAGGGGGAAAGGAGAAGATTAGTTGTGTATCGTCAGCGTAGCAATGATAGGAGAGGCCATGTGAGGATATGACAGAGCCAAGTGACTTGGTGTATAGGGAGAAAAGGAGAGGGCCTAGAACTGAGCCCTGGGGGACACCAGTGGTGAGAGCACGTGGTGCGGAGACAGCTTCTCGCCACGCCACTTGGTAGGAGCGACCGGTCAGGTAGGACGCAATCCAGGAGTGAGCCGCACCGGAGATGCCCAGCTCGGAGAGGGTGGAGAGGAGGATCTGATGGTTCACAGTATCAAAGGCAGCAGACAGGTCTAGAAGGACAAGAGCAGAGGAGAGAGAGTTAGCTTTAGCAGTGCGGAGAGCCTCCGTGACACAGAGAAGAGCAGTCTCAGTTGAATGACCAGTCCTGAAACCTGACTGGTTTGGATCAAGAAGGTCATTCTGAGAGAGATAGCAAGAGAGTTGGCTAAAGACGGCACGCTCAATAGTTTTGGAAAGAAAAGAAAGAAGGGATACTGGTCTGTAGTTGTTGACATCAGTGGGATCGAGTGTTGGTTTTTTGAGAAGGGGAGCAACTCTCGCTCTCTTGAAGACGGAAGGGACATGGCCAGCGGTCAAGGATGAGTTGATCAGCGAGGTGAGGTAGGGGAGAAGGTCACCGGAGATGGTCTGGAGAAGAGAGGAGGGGATGGGGTCAAGCGGGGCAGGTTGTTGGGCGGCCTGCAGTCACAAGTCGCAGGATTTTATCTGGAGAGAGAGGGGAGAAAGAAGTCAAAGCATAGGGTAGGGCAGTGTGAGTAGGACCAGCAGTGTCATTAGACTTAACAAACGAGGATCGGATGTCATCAACCTTCTTTTCAAAGTGGTTGACGAAGTCATCCACAGAGAAAGAGGAGGGGGGGGGGGAGGGGGGGAGGATTCAGGAGGGAGGAAAATGTGGCAAAGAGCTTCCTAGGGTTAGAGGCAGATGCTTGGAATTTAGAGTGGTAGAAAGTGGCCTTAGCAGCAGAAACAGATGAAGAAAATGTAGAGAGGAGGGAGTGAAAAGATGCCAGGTCGGCAGGGAGTTTAGTTTTCTTCCATTTCCGCTCCGCTGCCCGGAGCTCTGTTCTGTGAGCTCGCAATGAGTCATCAAGCCACGGAGCTGGAGGGGAGGACCGAGCCGGCCGGGAGGATAGGGGACACAGAGAGTCAAAAGATGCAGAAAGGGAGGAGAGGAGGGTTGAGGAGGCAGAATCAGGAGATTGGAGGGAGAAGGATTGAGCAGAGGGAAGAGATGATAGGATGGAAGAGGAGAGAGTAGTGGCTGGCTGCCTCTATACTGTCTTGGCTGGCTGCCTCTATACTGTCTTGGCTGGCTGCCTCTATACTGTCTTGGCTGCCTCTATACTGTCTTGGCTGGCTGGCTCTATACTGTCTTGGCTGGCTGAATCTATACTGTCTTGGCTGGCTGTCTCTATACTGTCCTGGCTGGCTGTCTCTATACTGTCTTGGCTGGCTGCATCTATACTGTCTTGGCTGCATCTATACTGTCTTGGCTGGCTGCCTCTATACTGTCTTGGCTGGCTGTCTCTATACTGTCTTGGCTGGCTGTCTCTATACTGTCTTGGCTGGCTGTCTCTATACTGTCTTGGCTGGCTGCCTCTATACTGTCTTGGCTGGCTGCCCCTATACTGTCTTGGCTGGCTGCCTCTATACTGTCTTGGCTGGCTGGCTGCCTCTATACTGTCTTGGCTGGCTGCCTCTATACTGTCTTGGCTGGCTGCCTCCATACTGTCTTGGCTGGCTGCCTCTATACTGTCTTGGCTGGCTGCCTCTATACTGTCTTGGCTGGCTGCCTCTATACTGTCTTGGCTGGCTGCCTCTATACTGTCTTGGCTGGCTGCCTCTATACTGTCTTGGCTGGCTGCCTCTATACTGTCTTGGCTGGCTGCCTCTATACTGTCTTGGCTGGCTGCCTCTATACTGTCTTGGCTGGCTGCCTCTATACTGTCTTGGCTGGCTGTCTCTATACTGTCTTGGCTGGCTGTCTCTATACTGTCTTGGCTGGCTGTCTCTATACTGTCTTGGCTGGCTGCCTCTATACTGTCTTGGCTGGCTGCCCCTATACTGTCTTGGCTGGCTGCCTCTATACTGTCTTGGCTGGCTGGCTGCCTCTATACTGTCTTGGCTGGCTGCCTCTATACTGTCTTGGCTGGCTGCCTCCATACTGTCTTGGCTGGCTGCCTCCATACTGTCTTGGCTGGCTGCCTCTATACTGTCTTGGCTGGCTGCCTCTATACTGTCTTGGCTGGCTGCCTCTATACTGTCTTGGCTGGCTGCCTCTATACTGTCTTGGCTGACTGCCTCTATACTGTCTTGGCTGGCTGCCTCTATACTGTCTTGGCTGGCTGGTTCTATACTGTCTTGGCTGGCTGGCTCTATACTGTTTTGGCTGGCTGCCTCCATACTGTCTTGGCTGGCTGGCTCTATTCTCCCGTAGCGTCCTTCCTCCTCTTGTCTTCTAACAAGAAGTAAAGGAGAGGATGAGGCATTTTCAGTTTTCCAAGGGAGAAAGTGACATACAAAAAAACCCACACAGAAAACACAAAACTCATATTGGTTTATAATGGTTTTCATAGATGGTGGTCAATGTGCGTTTTGCGCTCATGCACCCATATGTGTGTGTGTGGTTTTGTGTTTGGGTGTGTGTGTTTTGTTTGTGTTTTTGTGTGTGTGTGTTTGTGTGTGCGTGTGTTTGTGTACTAAAGTACACGTTAGTGAGAGTGTCAGTGTGTGTTTTGTGTTATCTCTTACCTAACACTTATCAAACAGGAGATTTGTGTTTCTATATAAAGATTTAGGATCTTAGTTTGATCACCATGTTGTTGCAGGACATTTCCTGTACAGCAGGAAATGCAAAGTTGTAGTGTATTCAAGGTTTAAAAAGGCTCCTAAAGTTTGTAATTTCAACCTTAAAATGTCAGACCTGATTTTCCCCTAATGAAAAATGTATCAACCCCTACAAAAATGTCCACGAATCATAATAATCCACACAATATTTCACATGACCTGTTGCTGCAGGATTCTTTTCCTGCTGTGAGAAACCGGTCAAATGAAGATCCTACATCTGTGTAGTCCCCTCTAACCTTCAACCTCTACCCTCCACTGTCCCACAAATCCCTGCGACCCCACAGCCTGATGAAACAGACCAATCCCATGGTTTTTGTCCCAAATAGTGCACTACTTTTGATCAAAAGAAGTGCACTATATAGGTAAGGGGGTGTGATTTGGGACAAAGCCCTGGTATTTGGGAAGTAATCCTGGGTAGGCAGATTTGCTGGGCAGCGGGTGAGGCGGGCAGAGTGGCACACAAATGTTGTGTCCTAAATGGTACCCTATTCCCTTTATAGTGCACTACTTTAGACCAGGGCCCTTAGGGGGCCCCATAGGGCTCTGGTCAAAAGGGGTGCACTACATAGGGAATAGGGTGCCATTTGGGAGGCAAGTAAAGCCGTCCTGTTTGGCAGTGCCATGTCAGAGACAGATTAGTAACAGTACAGAACGGTGCTGACAGGGATTGCCAGATTTGCCACAGCCTTAAGCAGTCACACACACACACACATGCACACACACACACACACACACACACACACACACAACACATGGAATGGTGATTGTAGCAGTGCAGCCATGAATAGTCATGCTGTTCATGTGAACATAAAGAAAGACAGAGGGATGCATGGGCGTGTGATGAGCTGAGAATAGATTACATTTGACTCTGACCCTCTCAGGAAATGGCGGATTCTCACACAAACACACACACCACACACACACACACACACTCATTGAAATGTAAACAAATAGAAAAATCCTAGGCTCTCAATTAAATTCTCCCCAAGAGAACTCTAGTTCAATCCATTCCATCCGCTGATACGTGAGGGGAATCACACGCACACACACACACACACATCCGTTGAATACGTGAGCTCCATGTGAAATCCATGACGGTTGTCATGGAACCCACATAGCAACCAGCTACACATGTACGCTACTACCTCTGGTTGGCTTTTGAAAAGCGATGGGGGAGAGAGAGGGGGTGGGGGAGAGAGGGGAGTGGGGGAAAGTGAGGGATGGAGAAAGAGGGGGTGAGAGAGAGAGAGGAGGTGGGTGAAAGAGGGGGTGGGAGAGAGAAAGCTTTGTCTATGTACACATTCAGTGAGCATAGCCTTGCTATTAAGAAAGGCAGCCGTAGGCAGACCTGGCTCTCAAGAGAAGACAGGCTATGTGCACACTGCCCACAAAATGAGGTGGAAACTGAGCTGCACTTCCTAACCTCCTGACAAATGTATGATCATATTAGAGACACATATTTCCCTCAGATTACACAGACCCACAAAGAACTGGAAAACAAATCCAATTTTGATAAACTCCCATATATATTGGGTGAAATACCACAGTGTGCCATCACAGCAGCAAGATGTGACCTGTTGCCACAAGAAAAGGGCAACCAGTGAAGAACAAACACCATTCTAAATACAACCCATATTTATGTATATTTATTTCTCCCATTTGTATTTAAACTATTTGTATATATACATAATATGACATTTGAAATGTCTTTATTATTTTGGAACTTCTGCATATAATGTTTACTGTTAATATTTATTGTTTATTTCACTTTTGTTTACTATCTACTTCACTTGCTTTGGCAATGTTAACATACGTTTCCCATGCCAATAAAGCCCTTAAATTGAAATGAAGTTGAATTGAGAGGGGTGGGAGAGAGAGAGGTGGTAAAGGGAATGAAATAGAGATCAGGAAGGGGCAAGGGGGTGAGCATAACAGACTACTACAGATTAAGAGATGGAGTCAATCAAATGAGAGAGAGGAGAGGACAGAGAGAGGAGAGGACCGAGAGAGGAGAGGACAGAGAGAGGAGAGGATAGAGAGAGGAGAGGACAGAGGGAGGAGAGGACAGAGAGAGGAGAAGACAGAGAGAGAGATTACATAGAGAGGAGAGGACAGAGAGAGTAGAGACAGAGGATGATAAGAACAGAGAGATTAGATGACAGCGAGGGGATAGGACAAGAGATGTATATGACAGAGAGAGGATAGTTAGAGAGATGGAGAGGAAGAGGAGTAGGGACAGAGAGAGGAGAGGATCAGATAGAGCAGAGGTACCATAGTTAGGAGACATAGATAGCAGAGGACAGAGATTCACAAGGACAGAGAGAGGAGAGGACAGAGGGGGATAGGACAGAGATAGGAGAGACAGTATAGAGAGAGGACCGAGGAGGCAGAGACGATGAGGAGAGACGTCTCTCATCCCTCTCTCTCTCTCCTTACTCTCTCTCTTCTCTCTCATCTCTTCTTTCTCTCTCTCTCTCTCTCCCTCTCATCTCTCTCTCTCCCTTCTCTCATTCTTTCCCTCTCTCTCTCTCTCTCTCTCTCTTCCTCATCTCTCTCTCTCCTCTCTCTCTTCTTTTCTCTCTCTTCTCTCTCCCTCTCTCTCTCCTTCTCTCTCTCTCTCTCTCTTTTCCCTTTCTCTCCTCTCTCCTCTCTTCTCCCCCCCTCTCCTCTCTCGCTTTTTTTCTCTCCTCTCTTTCTCCCTCTCCCCCCTTTTCTTCTTTCACCCCTCTTCTTTGTTTTCGCTTTCTTAGGCCCTTTCCCGGGGTTTGAGGGGAGGAAGCGAAGAGAGGAGAGAGAAAAGATAGATATAGCGATCGAAATAAGAGAGATGATAGTCAGGAGAGAGAATAGTAGCGCGAGAGAAAAAGAGGAGGAGATGAGCCCTCCTCTTGTCCTTGGAGTGTTGTTTGGGGTTTGGTAAATTTCTGGGGGTTAATTTATTTTCCTATATGTTTTGCTTTTAAAGGGTTCTAGGTTTTGCGTTCACTATGTGGTTCGTCCGGGCAGAGGGCGCAACTAGACCGAACACATATTTTGTGTATGCGTGTGTGTATACTGTGTGTCCCTGCCTGCCTGCCTGCGCGCGTGTGTGTGTGTGTGCATACGCCCATGTGTGCGTACATGTGAATGTGTGTTGGTTTGGTTATTTCCAGACTGATTAATCAGTAATGACAGACATTACTCTGAGGGTTAGGGACATTTATACATTTACATTTACATTTTACATTTTAGTCATTTAGCAGACGCTCTTATCCAGAGCGACTTACATATTATTTTTTTATACTGGCCCCCTGTGGGAATCGAACCCACAACCCTGGCGTTGCAAACACCATGCTCTATCAACTGAGCTACATCCCTGCCGGCCATTCCCTCCCCTACCCTGGACGACGCTGGGCCAATTGTGCGCCGCCCATGAGTCTCCCGGTCGCGGCCGGCTGCGACAGAGCCTGGATTCGAACCAGGATCTAGTGGCACAGTTTTGCACTGCGATGCAGTGCCTTAGACCACTGCGCCACTCAGGAGCTCAATGCTCTTACTAAGACACACATGACTTACACAGAAGACACAGAAAGAGAATGAAAGAGAATGCATTTCTATTTAAAGGGTGTGAGTGGGTGTACGTATGTGATGCAACTTGATGAAAGTGTGAGAGCACTCTGGAACAGAGAAAAAATACAGAAAATGTGTGAATTTAGCCAATAAGCAAATAGCAATCTACGTCATTGTGATGTCATCAGAAGAACCCATGAGTTTCTTCCTTGTTTCAGAGGAGTTTAGATTCCATCATTCACCCTTCTAGCTAAATGGAAGACTACATTCCAGAATGTTTCAGAGGAATTTAGATTCCATCATTCACCCTTCTAGCTAAATGGAAGACTACCTTCCAGAATGTTTCAGAGGAATTTAGATTCCATCACTAACCCTTCTGGCTAAATGGAAGACTACATTCCAGAATGTTTCAGAGGAATTTAGATTCCATCACTAACCCTTCTGGCTAAATGGAAGACTACATTCCAGAATGTTTCAGAGGAATTTAGATTCCATCATTCACCCTTCTAGCTAAATGGAAGACTACATTCCAGAATGTTTCAGAGGAATTTAGATTCCATCACTAACCCTTCTGGCTAAATGGAAGACTACATTCCAGAATGTTTCAGAGGAATTAACATTCCACCATTTACCCTTCTGGCTAAATGGAAGATTCTACACTGGCAGTCCCCATAGGATAACTTTTCTTGGTTCCTGGGAGAATCCTTTTTGGTTCCACGTAGAACCCTTTTGGGTTATATGTAGAGCCCTATGTGGAAAATAATCAAAAGGGTTCTACCTGGAACCAAAAGGGTTATACCTAGAATCAAAAAAGGTTCTACCTGGAACCAAAAGGGTTCTACCTAGAACCAAAAGGGTTCTACCTAGAACCAAAAAGGGTTCTTCAAAGGATTCTCCTACAGGGACAGCCATAGGACCATTTTAGGTTCTAGATAGCAGCTGTTTTTCCTTAGTGTAGAACAGTGTCTCTCAACCTGCGGTCATGTGTCTCCTGTGAAAGCTCTCTCACATCCTCTCTCTCCCTAGAGACTCTTTCTCTCTCTCTCTCTCTCTCTCTCCTCTCTCTCTCTCTCTCTCTCTCTCTCTCTCTCTCTCTCTCTCTCTCTCTCTCTATCTCTCTCTCTCTCTCTCTCTCTCTCTCTCTCTCTCTCTCTCTCTCTCTCTCTCTCTCTCTGTCTGTGTGTCACTTTCCCTTCCTGTGGGATACTCAGTGGGAAGGGTTAGGGGTGAGAAGTCACTCTATCGCTGCCAAAACATGAGAATGCCGGGGTCCCCTCAAATACTCCCTCAAAATATTTGTCAATCTCTCTTTCTCTTTCTCTCTTTCTGTCTCTCAATTCAAATTCAATTCAAGGGATGTCTCTCTCTCCCTCTCATCCATTTATACAAATTATCTTTCTTCCTCTACCCCAATTAAAGGCATATACACAGGCTTACAGCGATTTCTTCTATAACCTCCACATGGCCCTCATTAACATGCATGCGCAGATCGCACACTTCACACACACACACACACACACCTCATTCCCTCCTCTCCTTGGTGTTAATCTCTTGGTTGATTTACAATCGTCTGGAGACAACAGCATCATTAACGGACATTAGCACTTCTCTGTTATCACTCCCCCACTGTGTGTGTGGATATTTTTTTACAGAAACAGTGACAGTCTATCTCAGTATGACACAGTGTATTATAGGGGGGTGTAAATGGTTGTTCCCTAAGGACACCCTATTCCCTTTATAGTGCACTACTTTAGACCTGGGCCAATAGAGGGTGGCGTCTTTCTCACAGCAGCAAACATAGAAATATAATCTAGATTCTATATCTATGGTTACAACAATAGCAGATTCTATAGCGACAACATATTGGGTAGATCTATATATATGGTTACAACAATAGCAGATTATATAGCGACAACATATTGGGTAGATTCTATATCTATGGTTGCAACAAAGGCAGATTCTATAGCGACAACATATTGGGTAGATTCTATATCTATGGTTGCAACAATAGCAGATTCTATAGCGACAACGTATTGGGTAGATTCTATATCTATGGTTGCAACAAATAGCAGATTCTATAGCGACAACATATTGTGTAGATTCTTTATCTATGGTTGCAAAAATTGCAGATTCTATAGTGAACCTATATTGGGTGGACCGCAACCAACATCCTTGGGAACTACAGTTATATGGATGTTGACCATGTTAAGGTGGTCTTGATTAGTCTCTGTGCTATCCTGGTGCCCTGGGCTATTTTCCAAGCCCATCCAGTGTGTTTACTATTTGACCTACTTGAGGATGTCATTCCCTTGGTTAGGGTTACTGACCTTCCAAGCCTGGAATGTTTAGGAAATAATTGGAAATTAGCTCCATGTGGTTGTCTTGGGATTGTGTGTGTGTGTGTGTGTTTTGTAATATCTGTGTAAAGCCTGTGGATGGACAGCGCTGATCATATGAAATCCTATAGAGCTCTGGTCTAAAGTAGTTCACAGTGCAGGGAATAGGGTTCCACTTGGGAGGCAGCCTCAGAGAGGTGAAAACACACCTATGTCAACAACCTTTATGGCATAGACACCTACAGATGTAGCATCTTCATTTGAGCCAGTTTGCTACAGCAAGGGAAATAATCTTGCAGCAACAGGAACTGGGGATTAATTATTAAATGGATTATAATTAATGGACATTTTTGTAGGGAAAATCAAGTATAAAATGTCAAAGTGGAAATTACAAACTTCAGAAGCCGTTTTAAACCTCAACTACACTACAAGTTTTACATTTCCTGCATTCTCCTGCAACAAGGTGATCAAATTAAGATCCTACATCTGTATCGTCTCTGGTATCTGAGACAGAGGCCACACCTGGACTAAACAGGGACAATAAACACAGAGAAAACGTGGTTAAAATGTCAAAAGATGGAAGCAGAGATAAGGCATAGAAGTGGTAGGGGAAGTGAGACGGTAGATTTAATAAGGGTAATTTTTGGGGATCTTTAAGTTTGGGGACCCGGGTTGGTAAAGGGGGGGGGTTGGGAAGGTTGGTGGGGGAGGGGGGGTAGAGTGGGAGGGGTGGGAGGTGTGGGGGGTGGGAGGTCGTCGGGAGGGGTGGGGGTTTTGGATAGGGAGGGTGGGGTGTGGGGGGGGTGGGTAGAGTGGGGGGGTGGAGGGTTGGTGGGAGGGCGTGGAGGTGAGTGGGGTGCCATTTTTCTCCCCGCCCCCTTTTCCCCTCCCCCCAAAATCTCTCTCTCTCTTTCCTGGACTGGACAGCGTGGCCCGCGCCACCACATGGTGCCTCAGCCCCTTGTCCCTCTAATCCGATAACCCCCCGTCCCCGACCACTCATTACTGTATAATCTCTGAAGGAGGGAAGAGAGAGGAGAGGAGAGGAGAGGAAGGAGAGGAAGGAGAGGAGAGGAGAGGAAGGAGAGGAGAGAGGGGAGGAGAGGAAGAAGGAGGAGGAGAGGGGGAGGAGGGGGGGGGGGGGGGAAGGGAGGGGCGAGCAGTTCGGGACTATCGTCCAGAGTACAGACCAGCTATAGGATACATGATGACAGCGGTCTCATTAAGGCTTAGTTAGACACTGGGTGAATCTCAATGGGCTTAGTTAGACACTGGGTGAATCTCAATGGGCTTAGTTAGACACTGGGTGAATCTCAATGGGCTTAGTTAGACACTGGGTGAATCTCAGTGGGCTTAGTTAGACACTGGGTGAATCTCAGTGGGCTTAGTTAGACACTGGGTGAATCTCAATGGGCTTAGTTAGACACTGGGTGAATCTCAGTGGGCTTAGTTAGACACTGGGTGAATCTCAGTGGGCTTAGTTAGACAAATGGGTGAATCTCAGTGGGGTTAGTTAGGGCAACTGGGTGAATCTCAGTGGGTTAGTTAGCCCTGGGTTTAATCTCAGTGGCTTAGTTAGACACGGGTGAATCTCAGTGGGGCTTAGTTAGACACTGGGTGAATCTCATGGGCTTAGTTAGAACACTGGGTGTGAATCTCAGTGGGGCTTAGTTAGACACTGGGTGAATCTCAGTGGGGCTTAGTTAGACACTGGGTGAATCTCAATGGGCTTAGTTAGACACTGGGTGAATCTCAGTGGGGCTTAGTTAGACACTGGGTGAATCTCAGTGGGCTTAGTTAGACACTGGGTGAATCTCAACTGTATTTCCTTGATTCCTTGCGTCGTCTATCCTCACCTCCTTCTCACCACACATTGGAAGAAAGGATCCAAGGAGGATGCAAGAAATCAAGGACAGACTATTGAGATTCAACCGTTGCTTCAAAAATAGATACCATATACAGTACAGTGAATATATACAGTATAATTGAATGTGTTGTTGGTAAGTGGGTGTTACACATTAGTTTTAGATTAGTTTGAGATTTCTCCACATGACACGACTCACAGGAAATGCACCAGTGCGCTCTCTTCCTGTGCTATAGTTCTGGGTGAGACTGTGCCTCAGTTTATATATCTTTAGTCTCTCTCGTAGACTCAGGGCACTTGGCATACTGTGATAAGAGACTGATGTAGTACATTTGTCATGTAAACAAACTGAGAATTGAATATAGACTTAGACTTTCAGTAACTGTGTAGAGATGGAAGCTTATTTCTCCTCAATCGCCTAATTCAGCTGCAGAACTTAATTAAATACATTGATTGACTACCTGTTTATTTATTGGTCAATCATGTCGTCTGGTTTACGTCGGAGGTGCAATTGGCCGTCTGGTCTGTATACAGTGTCGTAACTGGTCATCTGGTTTGTATCTGGTGTGTTAATTGGTTGTCTGGTCTGTGTGTCAGGTGTTTACACACTGAGCCCCAGGGGGGAGGGGTCTACAGTATCTCTTAAGCTGTCAATCACTCTGGCTTCTGGCCCACCCACAGACACACTGCTTCTTGTCAATAATAGACCATCAGTTTAGCAGCCATGTTGTTAAATGATGAAGTATGTAAAAAATAAACAAATGTATTGATGTGCTGCAGCTGGCTAGGTAACATCACTACTGTGTATAGGAGTATTAACCAAGTAAGCCACACACACAAAAAATAAATGTCATAATTATATAGTACTTCTTATAAAGGTGTAGCCAAACAATCGCTTACTTTGTAATATTTCTTACATTTGTCACAACTGCTTGAAATCAAATTGGACACTGGGCCTAAATCCAGACAGGAAGAAGTAAAAACTTCACTCTCTGTCGGAAAGAGAACAATGTTTATGGTTGTGTGGTGAAAACGGGCCTGAATGCTAACCATCAAAGGTTACAATATAGCTGTATCGTTAATATCATTAGCATTCTCCTCACTGTCCCAGGGCTAAACAATCGTTACCTTCCGAATGGCACCCTTTTCCCTATGTTTTACATTTTACATTTTAGTCATTTAGCAGACGCTCTTATCCAGAGCGACTTACAGTTAGTGAGTGCATACATTTTCATACTGGCCCCCCGTGGGTATCGAACCCACAACCCTGGCGTTGCAAGCGCCATGCTCTACCTATATATGGTACACTACTTGGTCAAAAGTAGTGCACTATATAGGGAAAATGGTGCCATTTGGGACGTAGCTCTTGTTAAACCTGGGACAATGAGGAGAATGCTAACAATGCTAACTATGCAGCTATATTATATAAATGGTAAGGGTGCCATTTGGGACGCTAAACAATTATCAGAGACATGCCAATGAATGTAAATGGGATCTTCATGGAGACAGGCAGCCAGTCATACAGAGACAGAGACAGAGACAGAGACAGAGACAGAGACAGAGACAGAGACAGAGACAGAGACAGAGACAGAGACAGAGACAAAGACAAAGACAAAGACAAAGACACAGACACAGACACAGACACAGACACAGACACAGACACAGACAGAGACAGAGACACAGACAGAGACAGAGACAGAGACAGAGACAGAGACAGAGACAGAGACAAAGACAAAGACACAGACACAGACACAGACATGACAGAGACAGAGACACAGACAGACAGACAGAGACACAGACAGAGACAGAGACAGAGACAGAGACACAGACACAGACACAGACACAGACACAAAGACACAGACAGAGACACAGACAGAGAGACCCAGCGTGCGACAGAGCTGCAGGAGTTGTGACCCGTTTTTGTTGGTTATGTTGTCGTAATTGTGTAATAGGGGGGGGGGGGGGGGGGCATATTGGGGAGGGAATGTTGTCACCTCTAGGTGTTTGTCCCTTGTGTGCTGAGTGAAAGGTTTACATTTGAGTCATTTAACAGACACTCTTATCCAGAGTGACTTACAGTTAGTGCTTTCATCTTAAGATAGCTAGGTGGGACACCCATATATCACAGTCACAGTAAGTACACTTTTCCTCAATAAAGTAGCTATCAGCAAAGTCAATGCTAGTAGGGGGGAAAAGTCAAGTGGGAGTGTTAGTTTACGAAAGGCTTTTTTTTTACGGGGGAGGGGGAGTCGGGGTGAGGAGGTGGTGCGAGGGGGAGTGCTGTGTGATTTTTTAAAAGATGCTCTTTGAAGAGGTAGAGTTTCAGATGTTTTCGGAAGATGGGCAAGGACTCTGCTCTCCTAGCTTCAGGGGGAAGCTGGTTCCACCATTGGGGTGCCGGGACAGAGAAGAGCTTGGACTGGGCTGAGCGGGAGCTGCCCTCCCGTAGGGGTGGGAGGGCCAATAGACCAGAGGTGGCTTAACAAAGTGTTCGGGTTGGGGTGTAGGGTTTGACCATTGGCTCTGGAATGTCTATGAGGAGCTTATTTTTGTACTCTTTCCGTGCAGTGTTATTTTTAATATCCAAGGGGTACTGCACTGTGAAGACCTCTGTACAGGGGGAAGTCATGTAAAAAAAAAAATATATATATATGTTTTAATGCAAGCCAGCAACTGTTTTTTATCAGGAAATTGAAGGGGTTTGGGGTCAGCCAGGATGTTCTGGAGAGGGTGGAGACCATCCTCACGTTCAGTATGACAGTCTGTTTGTGGTAATCTGAGCTGGTGGAGACCATCCTCACGTTCAGTATAACAGTCTGGTGTGGTAATCTGATCTGGTGGAGACCATCCTCACGTTCAGTATGACAGTCTGGTGTGGTAATCTGAGCTGGTGGAGACCATCCTCACGTTCAGTATAACAGTCTGGTGTGGTAATCTGAGCTGGTGGAGACCATCCTCACGTTCAGTATGACAGTCTGGTGTGGTAATCTGAGCTGGTGGAGACCATCCTCACGTTCAGTATAACAGTCTGGTGTGGTAATCTGAGCTGGTGGAGACCATCCTCACGTTCAGTATGACAGTCTGGTGTGGTAATCTGAGCTGGTGGAGACCATCCTCACGTTCAGTATAACAGTCTGGTGTGGTAAACTGAGCTGGTGGGGGACCCTCCTCACGTCAGTTCGGGTTGGGTGGTATCTTGTTTTTAATTATGTGACCTGGTTTTTTTAAAGGTTTTGAGAATTTGTGAAAATGGGTTTTTAATGGGGGGAGGGAAACCAAAATTTTTATT